CCCGGTTCCAACCGATATTTCGCCCGCCGTGTCTCTTTCTCCTGACCAACGCATAGCTCCAGGCACCGTATTTTCGGGATGCACAAGATCGTCGGGGTGAAAAAAAGCCCGCGGGTTTCGGGTGAGGCCGCTCTACAATAGCCGAGAACGGCCTGGAGTGTCTGGATGTTGAGGTGGGGCCTGAAAGGTCCAAGCGTCACCCTCCAGGATGGGAAAAAAGCATCAGTAGGAAAGAGTGGCTTCAGCTTGTATAACACCCGGGTGCTGTAAACATATGTGGTCTAGATGTACATATGTACATGATCTTTTGTCTGAGAATAGAAACGGGGTGCGCCATATCAGTACCAACCAGTACTGATTTTTACGGACGGTGGGGCAATGTGCTGACTGGCTCACATTGCGATATGAATCGCATCCCTGTGGATCGTGTCAAAACGTGAGCCAGGATTGCCTCGTGGTGTATATTGATGTAGACCTTGTATCGTCTTTTGTTTTGGGTGTCTTCAGTCTTCGTATTTTGGTGTGTGCGACCTGATATGGTTGGGGCATTGGTTCTCTTTTATTCTGCGGGTGGGTATGTAGCTCTAGTAGGTCAGGTGTGCCGGTTTCTCTTTCCAGGCTGCACAAGGTCTTGTACACCGCAGACTTGCCAGCTTCTTCGGAATTGAATATTTGATTTGTATGAAATATTAGAGTGTGGATCGTGTGGATCCTATGTACCCACACAAAAAACCTACTTCTACTTTCAGATGTTTCGTAGCTCGGTTTCGCTACGGTCCGGGCACGGCTGAGACAGACAACTCATGCAAGTATGCGAAAGCCCGTCGAAGGCCTATCGCCACCCTTGGTCGTAATGGTGGTATCTCTCTTCCTTCGTCATAAAATTGGGCCCGGCAGTCGAGGTCAACCTCAGGGGCCCCACTCTGCCAGCGGTACTGCCCATAATCGCTGCAATCAGAGTAGCTCCGGGGTTTGGCTTAGACTAGGCGTCATACGCCGTCTGATTGTAAACCGGCGGAAATCAGGGGGAAACATGCTGCTTTCCCAGAATAGTTGTCGGCAACTTTTATCTTTGTATTGTTGCCACCCACAGATGATGCTGAAAGCTTCAGAAAACTTGGCAGAACTCGACCCGATACCCGGCCTGAAACACCCCCCGCCCTCGATTGTGCTCGCAAGTACTTGATCGTCCCATCACCTACTCGGACGAGCAAGTCTTTCTGCGAGCGATCAAAACGGGGTGCGCTATGCAACGAAGTCAAGGCCTGCACGCTCATGGTTCCGTTTACATGTTCAGCCAGAGACTTGGGTTATTGCATTGTTGCGTGTCGCTACAAAGTCATATGGCACCCCTCTTGTCCGGTGCTGCACCTCGTACTTCTTCAAGCCCACCCATATCACGGTCCCTGCTCTAAACGCAAAATGCTCCAACAACAACCCACGACAGATGCCAATATCTCCCCCTCTTGTGATAAAACAAAAAACGGTGAGTGGTACTCCATGTCGACGGGTCAGCCCCACGAGATATGGCCTTGGAGCACACACGCAGCTATTACATGCGACCATTGGAAAACAGGATCAGGTGAAACACGAACGAACGAACTTATGGTGTGTGTATTTGGTCTCCATCCACGCGTTGCTTGTACGCGGGATCATTCCTTTATTAGCACACCCGTTATTGAAGCGACACTCGTCCACCGACCACCCCACCATCACCAAACAACGAGGAAAGCAGTATTAGGTGGACGCGCGTTGTATATCGTCATGCATGCCGCGCATACTCTTGGACCAGCGTGAACCCGGAGGTAGTCTCGTCGGCTACTGCGCATGGTACGGTCCGAAGTGGTAGCCTGTTTTCTGGCGGTGTATGGACCTAAGGTACGTTCAGGCAACGTTGCCAACAATAGGCAATCAGTCTCTGTTTCCTGAAGGGTCCGCTGCGTCCCGAACTACCGCGGATAATCACGAGGACCGCTCCCTTGAGGTGCTAAAGCTAAATGTTGAGGGGTCATGTGTTTCCGTAAATATCTAGCAATGAGGCTGGCATCCATGTTGCTACGCCGTGTGCGCGACGCCACGTGCTGTCAGGATGCTGCTTCTACGCGCCCCTCGACGATGCGCATTCTTGTTAGTGTCACTAACGCCCTCGCATCGAGGGCAGATATAAATAATCGAGTCGGCGATGTGGCTACCAACCCGCGTCCTCGATTGACACCAAATAGAGGTGTACTGAAAAATCTTCACCGCATGATGACATTGTTGAATCTAGCAGTCGAGTGAAAAATCCTTATCAACCACCAATAACAATGGTATTCTTCTTGCGACGTTTCCGAATCAAAGAACAAGACTGAAAGGCGCCAGCTGATTGGATGATGCGGACACAGTTCCAGCCCTGGGTGCAAGTGCAAAGCTGCCTCCCCGCCTGAGCCGTCCCTAGCCCAACACCCGAAACAAAAGCCCCAAAATCCGGGGTTGGGTAAGCCTGTAACCTCTACATTTGGCCACACCGCTGTGGAGCCCACCTGTGTGGACAGCATGCAATCAGCTGTACGAAACGCCCACCCTGAATAACCTCAGCTCCACTCAAACACACCCTTCGGGAGCACAGGATAAATTCACGGTACAACCTACAACATTTTGCCTATGGGGCTCCTCCGAAAAGCGGCTACAGAAAAACACTCGAGTCTCCATCCACTTCTTCGAAAAACAGCCTTGCTACCACGTATTGACAACATATACTGCACACCAAAAACACGAATGACGCTACTCACACCTACACAACAAAAAACTGGTGGTGACTACCTTGCCATCTTAGAAAAGCTGTTCATGCCGAAACTACGAGAGAGCAACGAGCTTAAGGGCTATTTACCCATTCTATTCTTGCGAGAAAACCAAACCATATCACTGCCAAACGCAACCCCGTAACGCTGCTGACGTAATACCTATCCGAAATGTGACAAACATTGCCCATTGAGAGATTCGGCAGCCGATACCCTATCCGGAGGGGGAAATTCGACAAAATGTGACAAACAAAAACTCAGGTGGTGCCTCTCGAATTCCCGCAGCATCGTCAAAAAAAAAACACCGACGTATGCATACCTGAATTGCATGTTGAGAGACTCGGCATCCGATGCCCTACCTGAAGCGGGGAAAATTGGCAAAAAGACTACAACCAACAACTAGGGTCCTGGGTACTCAGGTGGCACCTCTTGACATGCGCAGCATGGCCAATCAACCCTACGTGCACGCCCACGATTTGGCACCATATCTAGTGCGACTTGGCACCATCCCAATTTTTCACACAACACTGGCTGAGTGGTTCTACCCCTAACGCATTCAACGAGAGCAATTCTGACATGTGGCGCGTGGGTTCGAATCCCAGCGCAGTCACATGGACTGGGAACTTCTCTGACAGTCTGCGGAAAGCGAAAGTATCGTGCGCGCACGCCACAACTTCGACTTTACAGTCGACGAGGGAATCTCACGGCTGCATCCTTCTAAAGGTAAGCACGGCAGAGGAACGGTGGAGAGAAAAAAAAAAACTTCTGTGTGGCCTTCCTCCTGCGTGCCCCGGCTCATGTGCCCAAAAAACATCGACAAAAATAACAAAACACGCAAACGAACACCCGCCTGGGGTTCTATGCACCACACTGCGTGGGCTAGTGCTTATACGGGGAACTAACTACCCCAGCAGCTCGCCTTCGCCTAACGGCAAGAACGATCGTCGACACGAACACCTCGGTTAGGTGGCAAACACCCTGGCACCCTCCCATCGCGGGCTCGATGCTTCGAAGTCATCATGTATGTATGTACCACCATCACCCTTTGCACGCTGGCTCTTCCTTGTGTCCGGTCAAACCACAGCAGCCGCCGCGAGGACGGCGGTTTCTACGGCAAGAACCACCGACGTGGTAACGCTGCGCGCGTCCAGCCCAAGTGCTTGCCAGGAGAACGAGCACAGCACGAAGCTGCCGGAAAAGGAGAGGGCAATCCAGGCGCAGGCTGCCCGCTTCGTCTCGTCAACAAGCCCGCCCCGCGTGAGAAACGCCGCCCAGAGAACCGCCAGGGTCATGGCGAAGAGTATAGCGGAGTTCCATTCCCAGGGGGCCGACTCCCTCTCCGAAACCGGCGGGATCAGCGGAAGACTGCTCGAGCAGCATCCCAGGAAAGCGGCCTGGTCAGGGAGACAAGAAGGGAGCGTTACACGAGTGCCAAAGGCTCATGATGAAGTACGTGCAACTAAACCGGACGTGCACCAGCGTCAAACGACGAGCAGTGATGCGAAACCCGCCCCACGTAAGCTCAGAGGTAGAAGGAAATATAGCGAATATAAAGTCGAAAAACTAATCCCCCGCGGATATCGACCCTTTAGCTATTCGCAACCTGTGCCTATAAGCAGATTCTCGCCACTGATCCCGTTTCCAACAAAGCCTAACGGCGACTGCAGTGGGAAAAAGCCCGAGCCAATGAAATCCCAAAATATTGCTCTACGATTCCTTCAGACGGAAATGTTCGACTGTTGGCGCTCTTTGCGGCACCGCGCTTAGAACTCTGTTTGAAAGGCGCAACACGCAAGCTCGTTAACCCCCGGAGGACAATAAGCATCGTAACGCTCATGCGGAAACAGTAATGCCTCGATGCTGCTAATGGACCAGGTTGCACAGTTTGATATTACCCTATGGCCCCCATGCTCAGCGGCTGATGACACACGTATATCTTGTCGTATGTCCCACATGCCGCCTACGATGTCGGTGACTTCTTGGGGCCATAAATCTTCGTTTAGGCTATTGCATCTGCGTGGATATTCTGGGTCCATCCATTCACATCCTTGACTGTTCATACACGAACGCTTCTTGGGTAGTTCAGCCTGTGTCCATGGAAGGGGTCCTCGTCAGGTGGAAAAGACCGTATGATAAACGGGACTGAGTAAAGGTCAGAACCAGTTGGTACTGTGAAGGATACGACAACAACAATGGTATCCCCTTGCCGTTGAAACCTGGTGTGTCTAGAACCGCCAACAAAACTCACGAAAAGAGTGGCGCTAGCGGACACCAGCGCCCACTTTCGAAGCACCCGTCTCCACGTGGAGCTGCCGTCGGACCTCGCCTTCTGCGACTTCTTCGCCACGCCTACCCAGGCCGCCCGGAAGCACACGATCAGCATGGTCAAGTGCACGAGCGCGTCGGCGATGGCCATGAGCGGCAACTGCCCCCTGCACGCCTGAGAGAGGAGCACGAGGCTGAGGTAGAACCACAAGACGGAGCAGAGAAGGCAGGCTGTCGCGACGCACGGTCCGTTGTCGAGGTGCAGAAGGGTCCACAGCAGGGCCAGCGCGAGCCACAGGGCGTTGGCGCCGAGCCAGGTCCAACCCCTCTGCTCGGCGCCAAGCTCGGCGTAGTAGGTGGGGTGCCACAGGGGGACCACGGCTGGGAAACATATCAACGCGAAGACCAAGAGGTAGGCGACGGTCGCTCCCAGGGCCAGCTTCTTCCCGTGGTGCCCGTCGTGGTTCCCGGGACCGTCACCGTTGACGCTCACCCTCAGCGGGAGCGTTTCCTCCGGAGCGGCCATCATGGCCCAGCACCTGCTGGGATAGGTGTCGCGGTTTTAGTTATGGGTGTTCAGTCTGTGCGATCTTCGCTCGGGTGCTGCGCCAAGGACGGAACGATAAGGCAGAACGGGCAGGGAGCGTGCAGCTGGTTGAGTGAATGAAGCATACGAGCGGTAGGTAAAGCTGGAGATCAATGGGGGTCAAAACGTGGTTGGGGATGTCGGTGTCGTGCTGAATAATGGTGAGGCGCTCGTCTGTTCGGCTCTGGCAATGGATACGCTCATGCGCTGGGTCGACGTTTGAATCTGATTGGAGCGTTAGCCTCGATGCCTCGATGGAAATCAAGCACGACCAACCTTTCGTAGATACCGGGGGGGGCGGGGCGTGGGGAAAGGGCCAGTGCCCGGTATAGTGCCGATAAAATGTCAGGGCACAGTGAGATCCCTCAGAAATTTGGCACTTTTCGGCACGATTCTGATTTTTTCCCGGTCACCTGGGACCTGGGACAGCAGTACCGGCGTTTCGGCGAGCATACACGGGCGCAAATCTCCGTAAAAGGCCGGGCGTGCACTTCGCTTGGGCGCGGGGATGACTGGGGTTGCGGGTGGATTGATGCGAACAGCAAATTACTGGACGAGTTGCAAGAGAAAGCAGCGAGCTCCGGGCGCCAACGGGAGCACTAGACAGGCAGGGAGCGTGCTGCTGCCGAACCGAAGCCGTACTGCGGAAATGATCTAAAGTTCAGGTGAGTTTGGCCCCCGCTGCAAAGAGAGAGAACCGTGACAGCACAAAGAAAGACAGGGCGGACCGTCGAATGATGGCCTGTCGTGCGCAGAGAGAGAGAGAAACGTCGGTCTAAAATCCGTGCAACAGAATGCGGGAGGCGGGAGGAGGCATTTTGCTCACACGATACGATCCGAGAAAGAGACAAGCGTGTATGCATACATGCGATGTAGAAATTGTTTTTGCGAGCTGAACACAGCTCTCCAAGACCCGATATTTTAGACACGGCCCCGTTTCCTACTACCGGAGTGCAGCGGTGGCGTGTGATTTTCTAACCGCTTTGTGGGACATGCCGCTTAAAACAGGGAAGCCTTAAGTGGGGATCCCACCGGATGACTGAGGCTCCGTTCGACACATACAGCGAGCGCCCGCTCTAGTTTTGACCCAGGCTGGGGTTCGTACTGCCTAGACATGGTTCTACTACGAATGGCCGTAACAACAGATATTAGTCCTAGGGGTTCTCAACCGAGGTCACATTGGTGCTCAAGATTCTCAGGTGCGGGCGCCAACTACTAAGGGTCGTTCTTATCGACCAATAAACCAGGAAAAAAAAAAAACGAAACCGTGTTTTCTTGAACATATATGGAGGCGTTTTTCCCCGAAAGCGTGAAAAGAAGGAGCCGGGTTTATTGGGGGCTTGCTACTTTCACGAATCCGTGTTTTGGACAGAAGCATCCGACAAGCGCACCGCGGGCGCTGTAACATCAGAGAACGCTAGAAAGACCTGCCAGACTCACGTCCAGGTCTGTTGTGGAGATGGACAAGCGGCAGAAGCGGCGTTCAGTCCGTTCTTGGCCCAAAACTAGGCATTGCGTGGTGCTCTCGTCTTCAACTGCTGCTGTTGGTGCTGTTTTTTTTTTTTAATCACACATAGCAAACACGGAAACAGTAGAACGAGTACAGCAGCAGCACCAAGACCTCCAACGCGCTGATTCCTTCGGTTCGGCTGTCTATATGATACCATCTCCCGGCGCCGTGCTGCTTCGTGGGTATTGGGTGCTTGGGTGCTGCTCAATAAAGTGTGTGAGAGACGTGTGCCACCTCACCAAAATGCCGTTGGAAAAAATGCGGCGAGATGATCTGTTTTTGGTCGGACGCATCAACATCAATCCACGGCACCACGCAGCAGTAGAGCAACAGGGCCTCCGACACGCTAATTCTTTCGGGTTGGCCATCTATATGATGCTGGACGTCAGCGCGGCTGCCGCCCTATGATTGTTGAGCTCGTCTACCTTTGGGCAGGTGGTGGTCAAAGACGGGAGTCGCAACCGTGAAAAATGAGCTGGCAAACTGAAGAAATCGCAAACAACACCCAGGTGGCGACACTCTGCCCTGCGCCTGTTGTTGCTGAAAACTGGAAACAGCAGGCCAGGTGGACGGGATCTTTCTAAGTGTGTTGTCCTCTGTGTCGGGTGCTGCTCATTGCGCTTTCACCGCTGCTCTATGGTGAGCAATACCATGTCGACCTGTTGTGTGTCGAGCAAAACGTGTATTCAGGGAAGGAAACGTACTCTTCGCGACGACATCAGGATTAGAACAAGTGAAAAATAGTCGGATCTTCTTTTCACCGTTCCGTGAAATAAAGCGTTATTTTTTCGTTGCGTTAACAATACCCCTAAGAACTATGTTTGAATTCCAGGGACCATTGTAGCATGACCATTGTAGCATGCACAGATTCCGCCTGGAAAACTACTGGAGGTACACATGCATACAACAAAAGAGGTGTTCAGACCCCATTTGAACGATTCCAATTTCGTACTAAATATGCATACGGTTAGCGCCCGCAATTAAGAAATATGTTTTAAGAAATATAGGCTCACTTTTTCACGAAAAATAAGAAAATAGGGTTAAGAAACATAGCTCAATCTGGGTCACACAATAAGAAATGTCTCAATAAGAAACACAGCAGCGACCACTGCCCTACTACATAAGAAACGAGGGGTTACGGGGGAGTGTGTCGAATAAGAAACAAACCCCACAGCTCTCTCGCTTTTTCCCCCTCTCCCCCTACCCCCCCCCCCTCCCATAGTGCATTATTATTAGTTGTACGCCGAGGGGGGAGTGTTTCGTTTTTGCGGCGCCCCCTCCGGCCCCCTACCAGCTCTGGCGCTCTCTGGCGCTTCGGCTCTGGCACAGCACACCAGACGGGCTGCGAACCACGATATGCTGTCTGCTGTACGGTTTTGATGGTGCTCTCCGCCAGCTCTCGCGAGCAGAGAAAATAAGAAATTGCCGATTTAAGAAATTCAGCAGGATTTGGCGGCACGAAAAAATAAGAAACTTGACATGAGAAATTGACGACATACGCTGAGTTTACAGCCCACAATAAGAATTTGAGCCTGGGCCTGAAATAAGCGTTTCTTAATTGCGGGCGCTAACTGTAGTCATAGGATACGGCCATTCTGCATTCGTCCGCGATCGGCACTAGACTGTATCACTTATTCGATATACTCGTAGCATAGCATGGGGGTGGTATATTGCGTATAAATATGCGGGGATTGCAGTGACGAACTACGGAGGAACAAGAAGTTTCTTTGTGTTTTCCTTGGGAGTGTAGTAGATTGGTGGAGATTCATGGAGATTCGTTCTAGGTATTAAAGCGTTATGCGTGACTTGATGCCGTGATGGAATGACGAGCTCAAGCACGCCCCCGATGAATACAACACGTTTTTCACCACGTCTACACGTCTTTACCTACCCGTGCGGCCCGTCATGGCCGAGCTGCTCTACGCTCCCATCACACACAACTGAGCCACCCGAATTATCGATCACGCTAGCGTATGACACGTCGTCTACGAGATTCGAGTCGAGCTTAGTTTGGAGTATCGCTTTGCGGCGATCAGCAGCAGCCACCGATGAGCGACACCGAGCAAGATCGAGT